AAGAGTCCGATTTCTAGCAAGTTCACACTTTTACATATATGCATTATAAAAGTTTTTTTGTTTTCATACATTTCCGTACACAAGACGTCTACGCTATGTCTGTTTCCTTCCAGAATACCAATCCGTTCTGGAGGTCAATCACTTACGTGGAACCGAACAATTATCAATTATATTTAAGTATTCCCATTTTGTATCTTATTATTCTATGCAGGCAGTGGAGCAGTTCTTCAGGTTTGAATGTTTTCCACCATTATCTTTGAATTAGATTCTTTTTTACTTCTTACTTGAGGTAGACTCAAGGGGCAGGTGAGTAAACATTTGATTGCCAGTCTGAGCATGGAAAAATCGCACCTCACCAACACGATGTTGGGTAGCCCGCTCCCGGCACTTCCTCAGATATTCTTATTCCACATTCTCACACTCTTTCTCTTGCGATCACGTAGCAAACCGTCAGCGATAGTTGTAGAGGAAAGCACATGCTACAGAATAAGATGACAAGCTAGCAAATGAAGAGACATTCATGGACTATCGTTGATTGCTGACGGAGTCAGTCGCCATTGATTGGAAGTCAAAGAGTGCGAGAATTGATAACTTTCGTTTGGGTTGAGAAAACAGAACTAACGTGTTTTTGATAGATAGGTTAATCGAACCGACGTTCCTATGGAAGCCGATTCTAGGGGGGAGCTAATGTAACAGCTTAAGTTGGTTGGTTAAGAGTTCACCTCAAACAACTAAGCATATGTCAAAACAGTATAGTTCAAGTATTCGTTCACTTTGCATAGACGTTATATTTCCTTTTATCTTATATTGAATGTTGAGAGGCTTTTTGTCTGAACAAATAATCCCACACTCCACCGTAACTGAGCGAAGATCTGAATAAAAACCTACTAACTACTTGTTTGGTTTCTTCTGTCAATAACAAGAGGGTTACCTAGAGGAACGAAATGCTTTCCAACACTGTCAGCAGTAACTTCATAAAAAGGGACACGAAAACCAGTTTAGTCAGTAGCTGGGAATAAAAGAGTTCGAAAATGTCTTCCAATCGTATTTAGTGTGTTGTGCCTTATTTAATCCAGCTGACTTGTCGTCGTGAGGCTCGCGCGACATGGCTTACCCAAGCGTGGTCTAATGTTGACGCTTGACGCATTACTTTCAGCAATAGATGCATCCAGTAAAACCAATTGGGCGACACCAATTTTTGAGAATTACAAACTACTTATTATGGGGATTCGATTGCAGCTACAGGTCTTGCATATATATGGTAGAAAATCAGAAGCATTGTCTCATCAAGTCATCTGCATGCTCTACGAAATAATTATATTTACTGTTGTAGTTAGTGTTATGACTTGTGGCTTGTGTGCCTTGTTAATGTAAAACGTAATGATACCGTCAATCACAGAGCAGTGAATTATCGATCGAACCAATGACGCATAAAACCCGTGCGAGCAGCCTAGATTCCTTATTAGATCTGCTTCCTGCCTAGCCCAGCCAGTTAAATCTAGAACACCAATCTCAGTCTCTGCAATATGAATCATTTATTTCAAGCATACTGGGTTTATATACCAACCAGACAGACCACATCGTACCATAAAATAGGAAACAACACTTGTACGAGAATTAGCCAAATGTGGCCGTGAATGAGGGAGATAGTAATTGATAGACAGGGCATAATTTAAGAATGGTGAATCGTATAATAATAGCTCATAGGTCAAAATAAAGCTCATAATAAGAGAGACAAGAATATGAATATTTTAGTTAGTTTACAATTGTACGATAAAATGTACGTATAGTGTTGATCCATAAATGGACCCCAGAAGTTACCATTCATTATTCTTATCGTTCCATAACAGTTAGACTAACAGATGCGTGGTTAAACATGAGCTGTCTGTTTTGATTCTTAAAAATTGTCAAGATATGGAATCCTTCAATCTTTTAGAAACAGATTAAAGATAGGGGGTAAAAATCGAAACTGTGCGTCCCCGCAAGAATACCTGCAAGAGATCAGTGATCACTGTCTTTTTTAACCAGGGTTAGCCGCTTGTATGGTGTGCTGAAGTCTAGGACGTACGAATACTGTACACAAAGTCAAAAACGTTTTAGCGTCGACATGACTAGAGGCCTTACGTAATGACTACAAGGTTCTGTAACCCTTGGCGGCTATTTCACGATAGTTTGCAGTAGTCTTTAAGTTTTTGCTAACAATGACTCCTAGGTCACCATGCATGTCTGAACAACAGGTAGCTCAGTGTTATTCATCGTGTATGTATCTGTGCCTTGATGGTTGATATGTGTCACAACACATTTGGAAGTATTTATTGGCAACTGTCAGGTTTGAGACCATTCGGATAATTACTCCAGGTCATCTTGGAGTTCTGAGCTATCACCCTCGCATCGTATCGTTCTCCGTTTCTTGACATTGTCAGCATACAGCAAGACCAATTATGATAAGAGACGAATGAGGTAATTTACATACAACAGGAATAGCACTGGCCCAAAAACGGTACCATGAGGAACTCCGCTAAGCGCAGTTTCCCATCTAGACACTTTGGAGTTCACCCGTACTCTTTACTGGCACCCAACTAGGAGGTGTGTAATCCACATTAATAGATTGTCCCCAACCACAACATTCCTTAGCTTATACAACAACCGGTTGTAAGAAACTTTGTTAAAACGTTTGCTGAATTCAATGTAGACTACGTCTATAGATAACGTTTGGTCTTTAAGAGCGCAACATCTCTCACAAACCTTTAATAAGTTATTGATACAGGAATAACCTTGTCCAAACAGCTAATTCTGAATGAGCTTTTCTTACATTTTAACAATCACATTAGTCAGGCTAACGGGTCTGTAGTCCTCAGTTATATGCTTAGTACCTGTTTTGAAGACAGGACTAACAATTGCCTTCTGTCAGTTTTTGGTGATCTACCCTGGGTTACAGATAGATTAAAACGAAGTTAGCAAGTTACCTTAGTAACCTAGGATGTGGTTAATTGGATACCGGTGATTTCTTTAATGACCATGTTGTCTATTGTGTGGACTGACAGGAAGGGTGTTTTTACGTTTTATACATTGCTAAAGTAGCTTGAGAATACTTGATTTATATTATAGTCGTCCTCTGCTACTGATAAACCATTACTGTCTCCCCATAATGCCGGAATATTTCCTCACCTTTTTGTCCTTTAGTTTATACACGATTATAAGCGTTTAGGGCATTCAATAGATTCCTTCTTCTTGGTAAAACCTTCTAGACTTACGGAGGGTCGAGGCACAAGTATTCCTAGCTTCTCGATATTCAGAATTTGTCTAATCAGTACTCAGCAACCCAAATGTTATCCACATTGTCACCTGTTGTGGATGCGAAGGATAGACCAATAATTATCATGTTAAGTCCAATGGTGACCTTGGACTTTAAATGGACATTTCCTACTGGTCGATATCTGTCCACTTGTTGAATATGGTACAAAATGTTGTTTTCTATTTTTATGGTACGATGTGGTATGTTTGGTTAGTATATAAATAGAGTATGTCTGAAATACAATGATTCATAACTCAGAGGCTGAGATTTGTGTTCTAAACTCAACTGGCTGGGATAGACAGGGAATCGGGACTAATCAGGACTCTAGGTCGTCCATTACGTTCGTACGTGTTCATGTGTCATTGAATCGGTCGATAAATACGCTGTTCTCTAGTTTTTCAGTCAAGGACACAACAATTAGCACAGGGTAAAAATCAACCACAACTTAAAGTCATAACATCACCCTTTTACAGAGAAGAGTGAAAACCTTCCTACTAAACTGTGGTGGAGAGTTTCTCGGACACCTTGTTGTAGTCCAATGGATTTGAGGTGCAGTAACTTTTAGGTTTAAATTTCGAAATTTATCACAAGCTGTTTCAATTGCTGACTTTGAATCTATTTTCCAATATACAGAGGATGCTTATTGCATTACATCTTGCATATTTGCTTTCCAGACGTAACGTCTGAGTTAACTCGTGCTCGCTTTTTGACAACTATATAATATAGTATATTTCTGAAAGGTCAGGTACACACCCCTTTTACAGGGATGATCTACACAGATAGAAATACATGATCTAGGGGTGTCATGTAATCAAAGTTCGTGATGTTATCCTCATAATTGGTCAATATAAGATCTAGTAAGGATGATTCAGTGTCCGGATGGTACCTAGTCGCTTATTTCACATGTTACATTAAGGTACACGTGATAACGGCATCAACTAGTTCTTGCCCAAAGGAATTTTCTGACAGTTGAGTTTTCACGTGTTTCCAGTCTATCGTTGGTGCATTAATGTCCCTTAGGATTAATCACTGACCACTTTGGGCCCAAGTACTGAGACTGTTAAGCAAGGCTTCATTTATCTTACAGCTTGGACTTCAGGAGACTAAACCGATCAGCAGCTATTATCCCTTTCATTTTAAGCTGCAGCAAACTGGTTCACACGTCCCACTTTCATAGGTTAGTGTCAGTAATGAAATGGGATAGCATTCTTAATGAATAGAGCTACTCCCTTCCTTTACGCTTCTAGATTCCGTCGGCTCTTACAAACGTAAAACCTTCGAAATCAAACCCAATAGTATCTATAGGCAGCGTCAGCCAAGTTTCTGTGACTGCGATTATATCTGGCTTGGTGGAGTCAAACTGTACACCTATTTCAGACCTCTTATTAAACAAGCTTCTGGAATTTTTGTAACAGATCCGGAGCATATTTAATTGGCTTCGTTTTGGATTTATAGTGCGTTCGACGTCATTTTCTGTCAAAGCCCTACAACCCGAAAGTTTACAAATTTTAGGTTCTTAACATCAGCGTCTAACCTAGGTTTTAGTTCTTTTTCGGCTTCCAGTCTTTATACAAGATCTGCGAGTGGCAAGTCTTTACGGACCGAAATTCTCGGACCCTTTAGTTTGTCAATGTATTACAGAATTGCTTATTTTGGAGGTTTATTTACCACTACAAGTTCGTTCTTCATGCATCAACTACTTTTCATGATTAGTGCGAAGTGTGACTATGTGAGTTCTGCACATGTTCTTAACATTATGTTTCTATCCTCTTGACCAGTTAGTATGAGTTCGAAAATTCTTACAAGTTGTGTCTTTCCATCAACTAACTTGACTGTTTTAGTCAATTCTGCAATGTGTAACCCCAGTATTGCTTTTAGCAAAGCATTCCGGACAATAAGTTCTTCAAACTGAAGAGCTTGAGGATGGCGTTCGAATGAGCATAAACCCTTCTATTCTTAATACATAATGTAATCAAGCTAATAGAAAAAGGGATATTTGAGGGATTCCGAGGAATCGCTAGAAGTTGTGTCTCTTTTTATTTAGTAACCAGACGCTTTAATTCAGATAAATATTAGGAAAAAGTCATTTCACTATATCTTCTAGATAAGGTTGGGTTTTGTATTTCTGCCAAATAGTATATCTCCTAGCGCGAGCGCTTGCTTGAATTTACTTTTTACTCAGGTTCGTACCGGTGTTGTGTGGTCTGAATGTTTTCGTACGAATAGTATTGTTTGACGGTAATCTAGAACTGATTGGGTCCTTTATAAATGTTTCACTACTATCACCTTATTTTTAGGGGTCACGGTTGCTTGAAAATAGTTGATGTATATGTTACATATTGCAAAATGGGTACTGACAATCTGTTGTCAATATACTCAACGAAAATCTTTGATTCTGTGGAGACTTAAAGTCAGGCTATACCACCCCAGGGTTTCGGCTTTTATAATTGATCACCAGACGCGCTTGCCACAATGCTTTTGACAAGAAACGGTTAAAAAAATACAAGAACTACGGTAAATGGATTAACATACTATCTTCATCTCTGTTGGTTAAGCACCAAAATATGAATACTAAAATGCTAACGCAGCCATATGAGCGTGGCTGCTTCCATAAGTACGCAAATAAGTTTGAGAATAATTTTAGTAGACACAGTACACTACCCGCAAATAAATGATAAATCCAGTAAGTATTCGAATACTTGCCAATCAGAATCTGCTATCATTCGAAACTTTATAAATGATTGTTTATTGAATTATGGTATATTATCAACAAATAGTTGCTACTTGGTTCATACCTAGTTCCCCGGTATTTTCTAAAGATTGATTGGGTTAGTATTGCGCTGTAGCTATTTGAGTTCGTTAATTAGGTATATCGTCAAAATTATTCACAATCTATCGTCTATTCTTTAGTATACAGTAAGTTTTGTTCATCACCCTGCGCTATACTTTCTTATGGTTATATTCTACATACGTACGTAGGATTTCTGGATTGCTAGTCAACGAACTAACTCTTCAGACAGTCTGCTTACTATAACTTCTGTCACAATAGACCATTTTCATGTATGAAATGCAATAATGTCATCAGTGCCTTTATCCAGTCAGTATGAATTTTCGACCCACTGTGTCAATTTACCGTTTGGCATATAATTGCAAGCCTGGCACCCTATTCTATATCTTAATCGCTGTTTGTTCGTAGATTCCGAATGCTCTATAAAAAATGTTATCAAATCCACCTGTTTAAATTTTCTGATGATTTGACGCGAGGTCAATGGTGGTGCGTAAAAGATACTAGGTGGTGCTTTCTATGTTGTCAGTCATCTACAACGTAGGACCAGGCACATATATGCGTCGGTCCAAGTTGCCACACCTCATTAGCACAACGAGATGAGCGCCGAATTCATAGAAGTAATTTCTTCATTGGTGGTAATATATAAAGGAAAGGTTGTTTATAAGGACATAATACAGGAAAAAACTTAGTTGGTAGAAAGAAGGATATGAATCAAGTTTAATCTCACAGTTCAAGGGGAAACTGCATAAACCTACACCTATGAGACCGATTCTGAGCCATGTTACTCAGCCTCCAACCACTGGTTACGATAGTCACGTGGACCCCAACCAAGTAGTCTGTATCTATCAACATGGCTGAGACCAGAGATTAGTGACTTCAAGGACTGATGCCACGTTTTGGTTTGGCCTCTATAGCATAATTGTCCCGCTATTTTATATTTTTTCGGACACTTCGTTCATCCGTTTTTATTTCGTAAGAAATGATAACTCAGATCTGCACTTGTTCCAGACTACTTTTAGTCTATGTAGATTGTAAACTGCTGATTGCAGTCAGTGACTACAGATCGTATAGATCAATTTCTGTCCTACCACAGTTTTTAGTTTTGATAGAAACTAATAATCTCAATAGTAATTCAATTCTGTGAATACATTGCCAATCACTTAACATATAATCATTTGTACTAGATGGATATACCAGAGAAATACAAGTATCTGTTCAAGTTTCTGATTATTGGGGCTTCAGGCTCTGGAAAAACATGCATTTTACGAAGATATACTGAAGGAAAATTCATACCCAATATGCCTCATACAATTGGAGCAGAATTTGGCAGTAAGATCATAAATGTAGATGGAACAACTGTTAAAATTCAGATATGGGATACTGCAGGTAGTCATTTTCAGATTTATATGTTCACACTCTTATAGTATGTTTTATCACTACAGTACCTGTTCAGTCTGAGCAAATAGTAAATGCTGATTTGTATTATGTTCATATACTAAATATTTGCGTTCGATTGTTAAACTTGATCACACTATAAAAAATGTTTAAAATCAAACAGATACATGCTGTCAGACCTTGAACCTTGTCTGTTAGAGATATTAAATAATTTGATTTCATATATTTATTTAAACACAGTAACATTGGTACAAAAAGACACCTAATATATGTGCGCCACACAAATCAAGTGATTTGTGTGAGATTTTATTTCATTTATTCATTTTATTTGAACACAAATATTGGTGCCAAGGGGCATCAAATATATATGCACCACACAAGTCATTTGATTTGTGTGAGGGTTGTGATACTGCCCGTGTGTCCAAACCGAGGCAGGTGGTTTCCTTAGAGGGCCACACTCGGAGCCTTCGTCATAAAGGTGTGATCTACAAGGCAACGTCAGGAGATGCCGTCCCATGGTAGCCGGTGACCAATAATTGATTCATACGCCATTTGTCCCTTCAAGATTCTGGAGCTCATGTATACCATTGGTTTGAAATCAGGGTTTTCCGACTTCCCTCTGTATATCCGCCACACAAATCTCATTCGATATGTGTGAGGGCTGTGATACTGCCCGGGTGCCCAAACCGAAGCAGGTAGTTTCCTTAGGAGGCCACTCCCCGAGCCTTCGACCTGATGGTCTGATCTACAAAGCAATGGAGCATCGTCAAGAGATGCAGTCCCATGGAAGCCGGTGACCAACAATTGGTTCATACGCCATTTGTCCCCGCAGGATACTGGAGCCCATGTGCACCATTGATTTGGAATCCGGTTAAAGCGCTGGACATTCGCTTTTCGTCCTCTCATTTTCGTAAACAACACTCCCGCCACGAGAAGGAAAAGGGTAGGATTTCCCTGGCAGAGGCTATATACGCGTGGCCATGTGAGAGCATTTCGGGAGAGAGAGCGGACTTTCTCCACTCTCTAACGAGATTACCCTAAAACGAAGGGAAATCTCGATGGTTGCGATGAATGATTTATTTTTTTTACAGCGGTAGCTTAATGTTAGGTTTCTAGATCGAGCATTCAGAACAAATAAAATGCTTCACTGGTCATCATGGGATCTGATGTAAATGTTTGACTGAGCGCCTTCAGTTAGTCGGTGTACAGTTAAGTTAACAAGATTAGCATCAATGTCAGGTACAAACCTATCTATTGTGAGCACTATTAAGTAGGGATCCGAAAACTTTATCAACTAAAGGTTTAAACCTAACGGGTTCTACGTCGGTAAACTACCTTCTTACGGCTCGGTACATTTATTAGCGTTTGGTCGTTAATCCGTACGCTAAGAAGTTATATGACAAATGATAAATGTCGAAAGTCATTTGTATACAGGTCGACGGAGATAGGGTTACCTTTTGAATGTGAGGCTTTTATTCGTTGATTCTGAAGTGGAAATGTATCTGTTCATTATAGGATGTTTATACTTGAGATGGAGTTGTTCTACCATACCGTTAACTTGTAAGGGGTATACATTTCGGAACAGTATGGGTATAGAGTTTATCTAGGGCATGGAATAATTTATGTCTGAATTTGCGTCCATTGTGTGCTTTAATTGTTGACGGACAACTGCAGTGTAAAATCTATCGTTTAACGAGACTGAGTACCATCCTTTTAGCTCTAATTTTGTTAAGCATTGCTCCTACCAATCGTTTGGGAAAGCTCATGTATGTTAGTAGATAAGTGTCTTCATTTCTGGTCAGAGACTTAACGGATCGAGATGAATGCGATGAAAACGAGTGTCAGGATTTTCAGAAGAATCTGAGGGATATTGACTGTCTAGCCGCCCTTGCTTTTTTACCTCTTTTAAATACGTTGAACGTCCTATCTGGTTTATGTGTTGAGCGACCGTCAAGTACATCGCAGGACAATCTTGCTGACCTACAATAAATAAAGAAGTGGGCATCCCCATGTTTAAGTAAACTGAACATAAATTTCTTTTAGGTTCTTTTACAACTCACGACACTCGTTTCAACCATGTCCATCTTTGCCCATGGGGTTATTCCGTCAAGCCAATACTGTCCGATTATATTTTATCCAGATCATCCTTATTTTTAATAATCATACAAGTGCCCAGTTTTTAACTAATAATATCGCTAGATAAGCAGTTTTAACCTAGCAATTTAGGTATATAACAACAAACCATTAAATTCTGATTGGTGTAAGATGGTTGCAGCGATAATATATCAATAGTGTCAACATATGCATATTTTTATGATTCAGATAAATAAACTGCTGATCAGTTGATGATACTTAGCAATACAATATAGTTGACTGATAGTGACTCATAAGACTAAATCCAATGTGAAATCAATTAGGTTTTAAATATAAGGACAGTACAGTAGTATTTTTTTGATCAGCAAAAACCTTTATAAAAGAAAAGAATTTACGTATAGTATGATGTATCAGGATGCAGTAACATTTTAAGATCAATGGATATCCAGTCGATCAGTTTTCTGTCTGTTGCGATAGTAAGCTATTTGCGAAGTATAGATGTAATTCTTTGAGAGTCCTCACATATTCTTACGCTATATTGTATCCTCTAATTATTTTAATTAGAACATTACTCTCAATTTTAATTAAAGGTCAGGAGCGTTTTCGATCAGTGGCTCGTTCATATTACCATGATGCTGTTGGAGCATTGCTAGTCTATGATATTACTAGTAGAGATTCGTTTAATGAACTAGCCTCTTGGTTATCCGATGCAAGAACTCTTGCTTCACCTGATATCATGATTGTACTAGTTGGAAATAAAAAAGATTTACAGGTAATAAGCATTTTTATTTTCTATGTTTTTGGCATACACTATAATTTTATGCTTCGTTCGTTACTTAAGTAATAATCAGATCTCTCTTTTAACTAGATTGAAAAATTAGCTCAGTTAAGACAAGTTACATACTACGACAGAATCATTTTACTTAACTTGTTTATTGCATCCAGACTGAATAAAAGAGATAACCACTATGTAAACTACTTAACATGTTTGACATTATTACTGTTATATATATGGGAGCATTAGTCATTTGGCGGTTGTTCACGCCGTGGAAAGGTACTTCTTGTGGTGCCTGACAAACAAACTAGATCAGAGATACTCCTGACGATTGCGGACGTAACCACACAGTCAAAGTAATAACTACTTAAGTTCGGCCACATACGGCTTTTTGTAGGTAGTTTTTGTTACATTAAATTCGTACTTTCCTGACCGTCCACATCAGTGTGTGGGTCTAGGTGAAATTTTCTGTCCTTAGGGTCGGTTTTTTAGTCCCTCTTATTGTAGGGACTCAGCATCGCCAGAGATACCGTTTACGTTTGGGAAACATGATACCGCTATCAAAATTCAGTAAAACTACCAGTACTACTCCCTTGAAACGTAGATTTGCTGCTTTTGGTCCAATTGCTCTTGAAAGGACCACCCTGGTGTATAAGGACCTCAATGAACAAGTATCCCAACTTGGAAGAAGTGGCTTACATCGAGTCACTAAACGTCAGAAATACAATTTTATAATTATTAGAATATCGCAAAAAATTATTATTATGTATTCCAACTGTTATGACTATTAGGTCACCACAATAAACAAACAGTCTGACGATCACTTCAAAATGATAGCGATGTTTATACCTTTTAAATCGTGTCCACTGTTTAGTTCTTCGCATTATCATTTATGCTGTTGTTATTTAAACTCTATAGTGTTCGATTTTGTTTATATCGTCTCACTACTGATATGGTATGACAACTTGGTTTAGTACACATTTATGCCAGACTGTGTTGATTGTGAGTGACAGGATTATTGAATTCCCAATGTACGTTATTTAAATAAAACAACTTTGGTGGAGTTTTGTTCTCTGAGCTGGATGGTTTGGTCGTGGAGCTTTCGTCGTTCTCCTGAACGACATCATCAGCCCAAACTTCAGATGGAAGTGAAGTGTTCGAATTTCTCCATATGCTTTTCACAGCTTGTTCTGTGCACCTCGATGTTGATTGGTTCTTATTGACCTTAAATTTATCATTGTTTACTTCTTTGTTTTGGCTGTGTCTCCCATCGGTCAGATTGTTGTTCCTGTATTTATGCATGATTTTCCTGATTAGTTGATAAATTGGATTGACTTCAATATGTTTGCTGATTGACCTGAGTGCCAGGCTTCTAAAAATTCTCTGGTGTTTTTGGAGTTTCCTCTAAGATTTTCACATTTTTCCAATCCAATGAGTGTCCGCAGTTGTCCACGTGTATTGATATAAGTGAGGATATATCATGGCGTTTGACTGCTAATTGATGCTCATGTAGGCGTAGGTTTGGGCACCCGGGCAATATCACAGCCCTCACACATATCGAATGAGATTTGTGTGGCGCATATGTATTTGGTGCCTCTTTGTACCAATATCTATGTGTTGAAATAAATAAATAAGGCTTAGGTGGAGGGGGCTTCCCCTTTTCCAATGTAGTGTTTGTCGCAGTTGGTACAATTTATTTTGTGAATGATGTTTGATTTGTTTTCCTTTGTTATTTCATCCTTTGGTTTGCATAGGATTGATTGTAGTGATTTTGTCAGTTTGTGTGCCATAGCTATCCCGAAGGTTTTCAGCAGTCTTGTTGCGGTTTCTGATATTCCTTGTATATATGGTAGGGTGATGCTTTTGTTGATTTCTCTGCTTGACGGTATAATGAGTTTTTTTACAATTTATATTGCAGGATAGTGATGGACATGTAACTAATTGGGAGGCTAGTGCATTTGCTCAAGATAATGATCTTCATTTCTTGGAAACATCAGCACTTACTGGTGAAAATGTTGAAGAAGCTTTTATTCAATGTGTTCGTAAACTTGTTTTTAAAATTAAAAATGGTGAATTAGATCCAGATCGTTTAAAATGTAATCGACACTCATCTAGTTTAACATTTATAGAACAATCAAAACTTAATTCTATCCCACAAGTTCATGTACAAAATAATGATTCAACACTATCATATGAATGTAATTGTTGATAAGATTTTAAATTTTTTATTATTTATCTTATGACATTATTACTACTTAAATAGACATTCATCATTTGTTCTTTTATACATATATATATGTATCAAGAAATAGAATCTTTGATTTTTAATTAACTTCATGTATGTTTCTCGTTTATTTTGTTCTTTATTTTCAATATTTTAATGTATTCCAAAATTTATCAAATTAGTTTTCATAATTTAATTTGCATTTCAATGATTGATTTCATGTATATTCCATAGATCTTTTGTGGAAACAATTCAATCTTTTAAATGACAAGTTTAAATTTGTTCTTTATGTCATTTTATTGAAATATTTGATTTAATATTTTATTATTTTCATATAAAAGTCTTTATGGCTTATAGTCTATAATTTATAATACAATATGTATAATTTAATTGTATTATAATTTTCGTCGCTTCGGTTTCTCAGGTTTTCTTTTTTTTATTTCTGAGAAGCTTAATAGTTATACTCTTTGTCTTATCCCTTTGAATAAATTAGCAGTCAGTGACTATATGCGCGTTGTTTTTGTTTGATGATATTTAGCAAACCTAATCAATAATGAGATGACTTGATAGTTTTAGCTATGTAGTTTAGGTACAATTTCACCTGTATTTGGCAGGTTATTCAGGAAATGACACTAGACTGATAAGACTTAATAAAATACTTTTAATTATGTACTTATCGTTAGTAATTCGTGTGATTTTATTATTATTTTCACGAAATCAATCAAGATGTAATATTTTTCCTCTTTTGTATTATTACTTATGCCTTTTACTCCTAATGGAGCATAGGCCTCCGATCAGCATTCTCCAACCCACTCTGTCCTGGGTCTTTTTTAATTCCACTCCATTTCCCGGTGTAATGTGTTCTTTGTTCTTCCTCTTTTCCTTTGGCCTTGAGGATTCCATGTGAGGGGTTGTCTTGTGACTCAGTTGGGTGCTTTCCTCAATGTGTGTCCTATCCACTTCCAGCGCTTCTTCCTCCGCTGGGATCTGGTTTGTTCTTTCCCACATTTGGTTGTTACTAATAGTGTCCGGCCAACGGATCCGAAATATTTTTTGTATTATATTCATATAATTTAACTCTATCAATTTTAATCCATCACTCATGCACAACATCTATTAACTAAATCAAAACTTCTATATATATACTTTATGTTATCACTTTTAGATTTGTAACCGTAGTGTTTAAAAGTTGTTTAGAAAAACAATTGTTCTCTAAATATTTCATAGTGATTTTTAAATTACTTATTTTCACAGTACTCAAAATCGTTTGCAATGTTGCAGTTGCATCCACTGTGTGTTCTCTCAAATTCTAATCTGAATTCTTCATGTCCTTTATTTTCTTTCCAAATTTATCTCACTGGTTTATACTCCTTGAATAACATTTTCAAACATTAATCTTTCTAATTACTGCTTATAATTTTACTACCTTTACCACTATGGGATTTGAATCGACAACTGCATCTCTGTGCTAATGTGTGGCAACTCGAACTGATGTACGTACGTACGAAGTTCTACGTTGTTGCTGACTGACTGACAGTACTTAGATGATCTAATAACAAACAAGTTTCTAATGAAACTTCGAATTAAAGTATTAAAAAAAATGAATTCAAGTAATTGTTGAGCAAAATAATTGTATTTAATGGTATGTTTATTTACACCTGTAAGTATTACATTTACTGTTATTATTTTGTTTTGTTTTTATACAAAATATGGTTAAACACTATTAAAACTACTCATGACAATATTCAACAAGTAGTATGTGAATGAATATATTTCGAAAGGAAAGAAATCATGTCATTTAATACAGCAATAATTCATGCAAAATATTGTGTACTGATTTTGTTTTAGAAAATATAATAACTTCCCAATCGGTTTGAATTAGTTAACATCATGGTAAAATAAAATTGGAAGAGTACAAGGTTTTAAACAGGAAAACAAACGGGAAGTAGCAACAGAGTTGTAGTAATGATCTTTTTTAGACTAATTCGAAAATGAATTCTTTTCACTTAGGTAATTATGTATATACACATGAAGTGCAAAATTAACAAGTGGTAACGGAACGCTTATTTTCAATACATTCTATATGAGTGAGTTGGAGGGATTGTCTTCGATGGAGGCCTCCATGGTCTTCTGTTTGGTTTATTTGAATGGTCGATGCTGACAACAAGATTTTCTAATGATGCAACCTTGGTTAATGATAAGAAAACAATTATTTATTATTAGTATAGAGGCTTTGTGGTGATAGTTGAGTTTTTGTGGCTTCACATAACTGATTGGTCCTAGACGACCATTGAAAAGCAGGAAGCGCTAAATAGATTTTTCACCTTAGCATGGGGTTCTCTGACGAGATCATGGATACGCACTTCCGGGGCGTCTCAAACTTAGACAAAACAGACACTCAATGTCTCCCGGTTTTGAACGGTTGTCCAACTAAGATTAGTCCTCAGTTCAGAAATATGAAAGTTATTTATTATTAATATTATTGTTACTTCTCAATGTAGTTTTGTTTAAAAGAGGGAAAGCTATAACACAAGTTATCTTGATCATATATAGGATTGCCCTCAAATGCCATGGTACGTTCGAGAGTGGGGAGAGTCAAATCTCCTCGAAATGCTCTCACTTGGCCACGTGAATATAATCACTGCCTTCGATTTGAGCAGTATCCCAGCTCTCACACAAATTGAATGGTTTATGTAGCACATATCTATTTGGTGCCTTCTTGTACTCATGTATATGTGTTTAAATAAAAATATATCCGATTATCGAATGAAATAATTTGATGACTATTTTGTTTGTGGTTTCTATCGCGGACTGACAACCAGAAAACTTTCTGAGCCCGATTATACACGATCTTTCTGCTGTTAGTTCTTAATGTGTTAGCTTTTCAGATTTTTGGCCTTACCATTTGCATCAGAAGTCTGTTAGGCGACTACCTGCTTCAATCTGGGCACCCGGGCAGTATCACAGCCCTCACACAAATCAAATGAGATTTGTGTGGCGTATATGTATTTGGCACCCCCTTGAACCAATATCTATGTGTTCAAATAAATAAATAAATGAAAACTGTTAGGCTACTAGCTGATGTGTTATTTACAGAGACCAACATTTTAACCAGTTTTAGATGCACTGTACAAATGAGATTCAAGGAAGGGCCAGACAAATACTTTATTTTCAGACTGTATTTTGCTTCTCATTGTTCTAGTCGACATTATTCGATGAAATATCTGTATAGGCAGACTCTACAAACCATAGAAAGCTTTATAGAATTCAATTCATTTATTCCACTGAGTTACATTAGCTAATACTTATTTCCAATGTAACGAATAATAAAAATACTCATTGAACGTCATTATTGTGAATTTTTTTCTAATGTACAATTATGTCAAGGAATGAAATCAGCTAGATAAATATTGCCCTCAAATGCCCTGGTACGGCCGAGAGTGGAGAGAGTCCGCTCTCCCTCTCAAAATGATCTCACATGACCACGCGTATACATCCACTACCAGGGAAGTCCTACTCACTGCCTTCTCGCAACACGGGTGTTGTCTATAAAATCGAGAGGACAAAAAGCAGGTTGATGGACATGGAGAGTCCACCTAGGGGAGTTGGAAAACCCTGAATTCAAACTAATGGTGCACATTGGCTCCAGTATCCTGAAGGAACAAATGGCGTATGAATCAATTATTTGTCACCGGCTACCATGGGACTGCATCTCCTGACGTTGCCTTGTTGATCACACCTTTATGTCGAAGCCTCCGAGTGTGGCCCCCTAAAAAACCCGACTACTTCGGTTTGGACACACGGGTAGTATCACAGCTCACACACAAATCAAATGACTTGTGTGGTGCATATGTATTTGGTGCCTCCTTGTACCAATATCTATATGTTAAAAGAAATAGATAAATATTAGATAATAGGATGCAGTTGATATGTTTCTGTTCTAGTCACAGAATCCTTATTAATGCAGAAACACGAATCTGTTGATATTAGTTTTTGATAAAAACTAACTTCAGACAGAAAAGACTTCTCAAAAACCTTTCATCCCACTACTAATAGTTATGACGCTATTAATGATATGGGTTCCCGAAATTCTAAAGAGAAGCTATGACCATTGCAGTTCAGCCATGCAAGAAGTGAGGAAAATTTAAGTGGTATTAAATGATAGTTATACAATATCGCAAGTCGACTAAAGTAATGAATATAGACCACTGTATTTTAAATCAATAATCAAAATGCGTGGTTTTCACCGTGAAACCCAAGTGTCTAATGCAGATATAATGCGCGATCGTGTATCCTCAATGCTCAGAAGTTCAAAAATATGACGAAATAACTATCTACTGTTGATAATTAGTTTCTAATGTTCGTTGGGCTCATATCAGTTCACAATCAAAATTACTTCTTATTGGAGTATCTGCACAAATGATGTATAAATACTAAGCTCAGGACTTGAAAGTTCAGCGTTTAATCCTGTGGATTTGTCGTAAATTATAATTGCAAGCTCCAAACTAGGACGAATTAGTTGTCCAACACTCCATAGCTTTAAATGGTTGTCAAGCTAATATCAGTTCTGAAATCAGACAGGTTACTTACTACTTGGTTACTTACGCCTGTTACTCCTCGTGAAGAAGCATAGGCCGCTCACCAGCATTCTCCATCCAACCCTGTCCTGGGCAATCCTTTCTAGCTCCGTCCAGTTGTAATTCGTCGTTTTCATATCTGCTTCCATTATCCGACGCAATGTGTTCTTTGGCGTTCCTCTTTTTCGCTTCCCTTCAGGATTCCAAGTTAGGGCTTGCCTCATGATGCAGTTTGACGATTTGCGTAATGTATGTCCTATCCATTTCCATCGTCTTTTCCTAATTTCTTCTTCAGCTGGAAGTTGGTTTGTTCTCTCCCACAGAAGGCTATTGCTGATGGTATCCGGCCAATGGATGTTGAGTATCTTGCGTTGACGGCTATTTATAAATACTTGTACTTTCTTGATTGTGGTTGTTGTAGTTCTCTAAGTTTCAGCTCCATACAGTAGAACTGCCTTGACGTTGGTATTGAAGATTCTCACTTTGATATTGGTTGAAAGTTGTTTTGAGTTCCATATGTTCTTTAACTGTAGGAATGCTGTCCTTGCTTTGCCAATCCTTGCCTTTACGTCTGCATCTGAACCTCCTTGTTCATCGATGATGCTTCCTAGGTATGTGAAGGACTCTACATTTTCCAGAGTTTCGCCATCAAGAGTGATTGGATTGTTGTTTTCCGCTTTGAATTTGAGGACTTTGGTTTTCCCTTTGTGTATGCTGAGGCCTACTGATGCAGAGACTGCTGCTACACTGGCTGTCTTCATCTGCATCTGTTCGTGTGTACGTGATAGGAGGGCTAGGTCATCTGCGAAGTCCAGACAGCCTCTGATAAATGCGATTCTAAATTTTAAACAAAAATCATGATTTTGTGTGGTAGTTTGCATTATGTTCAGATTGTTTTTCACTGCTTTCTTCCAATAGGTAGTTCGCATTTTAAGAATTCTTCTATGCTTTGACACACCGTTAAACTTCAAATCTAGTATCGAAAACATTGAGAAAATTAGTTGGCAGTACAGTGGTTCGTATTATTTCAACTCCAAGTAGTTTGTGCGACAAGGCAATATAATCAATTGCCTGATTTGTTTATTTTAAATTTGAATCTATGGTCAAAAGGTTTTTTGTCGAACTACACTACAATTTGCAACCTATACGTTTAATTGGTATCGTTTTGTGATAAAGAACCAACTGTTGTTGAGTTCAACAACAATAGAGAAATTTTGTAATTTACAACACGGAATGGACCTGGTTAAACGGCTACTGAAAACCAGGGAAACTTTCGTTTTAGTATGGGACTTCTTAGCAATATGTATTCATGATTCCACTGCAGGTGGGTCAATATATTATTTAACTCATCATACCATTGGTGAGTAGGTGCCTCACTCGAGATATAATTGAACTCCACTGATCATGGTTTCTAACAAGTGCTCCGGAAATCGCTTCACGAAGTTAATCACTAGTATTGAAGATAGTATGGGGACGAGGTCCTGGAGATTGCTGGATTTATTTGTGGGTGACTCAATCAAAAATCTGCACAAAACGTCTACGCTAGTAATAATATCAGAAAATAATACCTTTTTTAATTCCCATTGATGATAAGCTTCAGCTGCTTGTTCCATTTTAATACGATTAGCTTCTTCTAGTTGTTTTTCTTTTTCACTTTGAAGTTTTCTTTTGCTTTGTAGGCTTTGTTTTAATGCAGCATCTTTTTTGGCTTTCCTGTTGGGAAATTTAAATAAACAATATTCATTTTTATTTTTAAGCATTTATATATTATCTGTATTGTTAAATGCCTTAATCAAAATGTTCAAATTAGTTATTAGTAGGTGTTATAATTCTCTCTTACGGTTATAACCCAGCTATTCCTATTGCTTAGTATTCTCGGACACCGACTCACTCGACAAGTCCCCCAAATCAGAACACGGTTGTACAGGAAAGAGATTATATTCCAAATAACAAGGTTAGATGGAAGCAAGAAGCAAGTCAGTAAGTACAATAGGGAAAACGTTAGTATATTTATAGTTTTTCACATGAGATTTCTGGTGTTCACTAAATATTGGCGATCGTGCATTGAGCATACTTTAATCCAGTCTATGTCCCGCTAACAGTAGGCTCAATAAAATAGCACCTAATCTCAGTCAAACTATGACATTATAATAAACTAATCGGACAGATATTCTATCTCAACTCATCAAGGTCAACGATAGCCAACGCTAAGGATTCGATGTGTTGGATTTGAGAATTGGGGCTTATGGCAGCTCAACGGCACCGCCTTCATTGTTCTTTATTTTTTTTTACTCACTCGATATAAACTTGTTGAAAACTTTGGTTGATTTTTAGATTGTATTGAGGTGGTGAGAGATATTCCCCATCAGCTTATGCAGCCACCGTACAATGTTACATCTTCGTTAGAATACTTAATTTACACAACTACGCGACCCCAATTATTTGCATTGCTAGTTAGTAATGGCAGATGAGATGCATATATACATGGGCACTTCATTATTCATAGGGTCTCATACAAGTTGTTCAGTATGGATCGAAACGATTTGCGACTCTTTCTTGAAAGCTAATCCATTCATTTCATAATGAGTTTATCTGTGGTTGATTAGGACAGTTCTAATTTTTACTACAATTCATTAATCAATATACTGACAGATGTTTTCACAGGAGTAACAGTTTTTAAATTTGTCGGTTAGTCAATTACTGAGTTACTAACGATTTCAGCAAAAAGGTGTTTGGTCGTAATTTTAATTACACAAGTGAAAAGTCATTATCATATACTGATAAGTAGTACAAACATATATTTATGATATCACACAAAGATCTTAATTTGCAGCTAGTATAAACTCATACTCATGAAGTTGTTTTTAAGTGAACTTGGGTACAATGTAATAAATTTATTTGTTTTTTGTACAAACATGCATGTGCATTGGGTTTAATGCATAGAATGCTGTGAAGAAAGCAAGCAAAGTTATGTATTCAGTTGGAGAATTTAGACGACTTATTATACACGTTTAAAAAAAAGAATACCTAATCTGTACATACAGGAGGCCACTCGCTGGTCATACAGCATGATAAGTATATGGTTCATTTAAACTCTTAGTGACAAGAATTTTTTAGTCTTCCTAGACCTAATCAAGTTTTAGAATAGGAATCAGGCTTTAAGAGTAGTTTATATGTGGCTTCGTTCTAATCTTAACTCTAATCTTTTGTGGGGCCCTTGAATTTTGTCGTCATTTAGGTCGGACGATGTTGTCGAAAGGGCTCTCCACTTTAGTGGCCCGGGTTCTGATTCCAAGGAGATTGTAATCATGATTGTTGTTGAAATATATATGTCGCCTATTCTCGTATATAATTATCGACTTAAATCGCGTTAGTCAATAACGGAATAAAGTCGAATAACGAGAATGGACTTTTGAATACATATACTTTGTATATAGAGCGAATGGGATAGAACAAAGCAAAACGACGCGCAGTGGAGATGGCGGGTAAGCCAACTCCCCTTTAACCAAGCGTTAATCAATAATTATAGTTACACAAAAGTAAGTTACAGACATGTGATAAGAAATGTACACACACCTACGCGCTCATATAAAAACAGTTAAGATTGATAAGCGAATAAATAACAGTCAGAATGTGACTCAAGTAGAATGAATAGAATGGACTGTCCGAATGCTAGAATAATGTATATGGGCTTAATATAATAACCGACACTACAAATCCTAAATCCTAGCTTTAAGTATCTGGTGGTATTTACTTCATTAAAATGAATCAAATTACAGTCGTTATTCATCACCTTAATGTGGAATGGTTCGATAAACATCATTCTAGAGTAACATATGCACTATGATCTTGTGGTCGTTTAGTCTATCCAGATTGTTTTGGTAGTATATATCAATTTTATCATGATCGATGATGATAGAGAATCGAAAATTAGATTTATCAGCCTCATTTTGTTCCATATTATCAAATGTCATACAGAAAACGATTTTTACTTTTCTATCATATGTCAACACTGAAAATTAACGATGAACAAAATGACTGAATTTTATGTATATTTGAAGTTACAAATGTCAATCAAATCGTATGATTTGTAGTACAAAATGAGACTAAAAACCCTTTTTCAACTATGCTCCATCTAAAAAAAGGCAATATGTATGATAATTTATGAAATAAGAACATACACTGGTTGTGAAGAATGAACACGATAAACGTTTGAATTCGTTGAACATGTGAAGCTAAATGAAAAGTATTAACTTTGTGAATGTGAATAGGAATTTTAACAGAGAGAGAGATGTAATAATTACTGTAACACAATCATCTATTACATGGTGATGTATTTGGCTTTAAGTTAGTGTTCATTTTTAAGATTTTAGAGCTGTTATTATCATCTAGGTATCTGAACCAAAGTATATAGGATAATGATTAAACTAGCGGCTGGATATCGAATAATTTAGCAACAAAACGATTAGTGCATGAGAACTTTTTGGACAATAATGTGTGGTATTCAATGTGGTAATCAGTCATAACCAACGTAGAATCTGACATATGTGTGTGTCGGTTCAAGTTGTCATATCATATCAGGTTAGTGTAATGAAATTATCAAGACAAATTTCCAGATCAATTTGAAGTAGTAACGGTATCATAGGTAATAGAAATGATTTAGAACAGATAATATTATTCGAGAAGAGAAAATGAATTCGCATAATAAATAGTATAAATGATTTTAAAGCTCAAGCTCTAAAGAAAGACAAAGAGTGAATGCATCTTCGTCATTGTGACCAATTCCCAGTCACATCACCCAAAATGTTCAACCATTAGTTATAATAATCGCGTAGACCGTAACAAGGTAAACCTCATTTATCAACGGAGTTCAGTACAGTTTTCACTAACCTCATGAACTAATGTCAAATCTAGCTTTCTTCAAGCCTACTACATCAAACAACATCGCGCATCGAGTTAGACTATCGTTTAGCATGCATGTTACATACTCATATAATCTTGCTATCTCATCAACCAATTTGTCATGTTTACCTAAAAATAACGAATACCTGCTGCTTTTCTGAATAGTCTCAACTCTAATCGATGTATGATAAAAGAACTAAACCACCACCCCTATAGTGATTGATTCATCTCTACCTTCCCTTCCTTTATTTTTTCTTCAATTTGCTAATATTTCATTTTGTTTGTCCAACTTTTAACCATTTCACATTGTCTTTCAACTTTTATTTAATCACCATAACACCTTCATTTGTTCATTTCAGTCAAGTTTTTGTTTTTAACTTATGGTTATTATAAGTTATTTTATTATAATATCTTTGTCTGGTGAAACGTTTGACTCCCCATCACTTAATCCATTCAGTTAATCACGTTTTCTCATATTATTTATCCTTGTAATTAGAATTATTTTACAACTGTCTTTTAGTACTCGACTGTTGTTGCTATCTTGACATGGTGGTCGGGCCTACCTATCGTGATGAACCTATCGACCTATAATGGCTGGAACAATCGTCGTTCAAGGTCCTGCCGTGCCAGACAGGTCAGTTGAAGAGCAGTAAGAAAATCAGCAAACCCAAGGTTTGAGGGCGAAGTCGTACGGTTGACTGTACAGAGGTGTGACGGTAGTAATGTGTTTCCTTCGAACAACCAGCATAACTGTGACGCTACCCTCCCACAAGGACGGGTGAGGTTAAAAAAGGTCGAGCCTAAAAATACACACCTCGCCTTATCCCATGGATATCCATTTCTAGCGGTAAGGTCTCAATAAGTATGGATCTAGCACGAAAATTACCCACAAAAAGGTCGTGTGTGACCGACCTCAAGCAATTGTCCCTCGGGCAATGCGGTCACGCTCTCAGGTCATTATGACCACCCCTAATCCATTTCTCTTTTCAGGTACCTCCAGAAAAACCCTTCCACGGTGTGGGCAACCGGGAAGTGATAACCACCATCATACCTCTAACAGCACTCAAGACTGACTGTTTTTTTTTGTAATTACTATCAATAATTATATTATTTTAAATAACTATGTTTGACATAATAAACTATACAAAGAATTTATATCAGTGATTTTTACGTTAATGAACTAGTATTATACTGATTAAGCTATCAATATATATACATTATAGTTACATAATATACCCTTGCGTACCAAGGTAATTTTACATTGGTTTTTAAGAGAACCGGACACCATTCAGACCTTCACGTGATAATTCAAACAGTACGTCTCAATCCCGTTTAACAGGAAAGACAGATATCATATAGGCTTTAACGCTACAAATGGAATAGTACAGTTCAATCCTGTGGTGCAATCACACAGGTACCAAGCACTCTGATGGACCAAATATATATATATAAAGTCATGTTTTCTACTGGAGTATTTTTTTCTAAAAAAAATATTATATTTACCAATCTTCAAATGCTTGTTGATTTAAATATTGTTTTTCATTTTGTTCTGTTTCTTTGGATTGTTGTTCATGTTTTTGTTTAGATAAATTTTCACGATGTTGTTTAATGATTGATTCATCTTTATGTGCTTTCCATGCATTGAATGCCTTCAACGAAAAGAATGAAGAGAATATACAGATCATTTGTGTATGGGATAAATAACAGTATATTTATAAAATTCAGTTATCATTTTATTGAAATTGATGTTCATTAATTCATTTAAAAGAGACAAAACGTCTGTGAATTGACTGTCTTTATTGTTTTGTTTTTTTTTATATCGGAGTGCATATAAACTCTGAGATGTAGGAGGTACATCCAGTTGATAAGTTCCAAATAAGGCAAAGCGCGCGTTCTGGATTCCATTGCTAGTCGCCATCCATGTCTGCTAAAAATATATACAGACTGATTTTCATAGTGACTTCAATATAGTTGCTAAAGTGGTGCATTTTTTTCTAATACGTTTAGGATAAGTGATTTTTGAGGGTTCATTCTCAATCATTTTTATCTAATAGAGAACTATTGAAAACAGAAAATACAGAATAGTTGTTCCACCTCAGTTTAAGGCCCTGAGTTTGAATCCCGCCAGCGGGATCGTGGATGCGTACTGCTGAGGAGTCCCACAATAGGACGAAACGGCCATCCAGTGATTCCAGGTTTTCAATTGTGGTGGTCTAACATCAATCGGTTCATGATCGATTGAACTTATGACTTTCATGTATTGTAGTGGGTATAGTGTCAATAGGCCACTGAGTTGGCTTCTAATGATATATATTTCCAAATTCAGTCAATTAGCTATATACAGCTGTTTTTCATTGTCATCGGTTGATAGTCGTTATAACTTTGACATAATAGGATTTATTCGGTTACAATTTCTTGTTGGAACTTAGGAAATCCTTTGCAAATTCAATCACTATAGGTGACCAACCGACTGTTTTTGTTAAGCTGTCAAGTTTCAAAGGATGATGATAGCTAAAATAACAGGGAAACGTTTGTTAGACAACTAATGGATGTCAGAGAAAATTGGAAAAATGTTTCATTACAGTTCGAACATCCTCAGCAAAGTGTATCCACAATCTTTCAATCACAATATATATATATCTTAGCTTTAGTCTGCTGAGCTGCAGCGGTCCATATTTTCAGCCATTCAGTAGTTTTAATGGTTGTCTTTGTGATGTACAAAATATCATTAAACCCGAGAATATTAGTAAGCAACAGTTATAAAACGCTCTGGATCTATGTTTCCTATCTTCAAGTAACTGTTAATTTCAGTTAATCATCACTGGTTTTTCTTAAGAAAGTAAATCCTAAGGTTTTTAATTAATAGTTTTCAACCATGAAACAAATTATACTGTCATATAATATTGCTTTATTGACAGACAGCATTGCAAACGTTATTGACCGAACATGATGAGCACAAAAGGCTATGCATAGTTAAATTACTGAATACCAGATTTCACCCCATCTTCTTTAAAAACGCTCAAAGTCACAAGGATTAACCTGTGAATCATCAACATTCTAACTAAAAACCACACCAGAGTTACTAATTGCCTTTCAAATAATCCGCATTTAATATAAAAACTTATATTACGAACAAACCGATATAATCTTAGTCTAGTTCTTAATTAGTGATAGAATGCTGTCTACTAAGTTGCAATGTTCCCACTAGTCTAAGCTGTTTGATGTTGAGCTCATGTAACCACGATTCAGAGTCTAAGATAAGGTATTCGAGATGCGTCTCGCTGTAAATTGTAAAGCTGAGTAGTGTAGGTTGGGATCCCATATGGAACATTGTTTCCCTCAAGATTGGAGATATGATTTGCTAACAAGCAACCAATAGGACAGATCTTAGATTCACTATTTGCTGTTGACTAAACCCAACTACCTAACATAAATATAACCGACTTCACCATCAGAAGCACACTAAGTAATCATACTTTTTCGGAGTTCAGTTTACGTTCCTGTTCTTCTCCAAGCTTCTTTTTCTGTGCCGATTCTTCTGCTTTACGTTTTTTAATTGCATCAATTAAAAGTTGATGTTTACTTTGCTTCCATGCTTGAAAACACATTTCATTTGATTTCACTCTTTCCAATTTCTATATTTAAAAAAATATATATAAATCAAATTTAACAAATTGAAGGTTTACAATCAAACAGATTTATCTAACATTATGTTGTTTGTAAATATACAAGCTATTCTGAGCAATCATCTAAATAGTTTACGGTTATCCATTCACGTTTTTATGTTTTGTATGAGTGTAACATTCATTATTCTGTGGCATATTTTTATTTAGTTAATGGGTGAGTACCACGTATATGACTGATTCAGATGGAAAGGAGCGGATCGGCAAAGCAAGAGCAGCATATTTACAACTGAAGAACACTTGGCAGTCGAAACAATTGTCAACAAACACCAAGATCAGAATTTTTAACACAAATGTCAAGACAGTTCTATTGTATGGGGCGGAAACTTGGAGAACTACGAAAGCCATCATCCTGAAGAAAAAAGTGTTTATAAACAGTTGTCGATTTTAGGGTTTATTCTAATAGATCTTAGGGATATCTTTCTTAAATCAGGTTACCAATTATCACAATTTACGGTAATGATTAATTTGGAGTAAATTTTTCTCTCTATGTTTACCGGGAAACTAAACAATTCTTCAAGTTTAATGGCATACACGTTGAAAAATATGATTTTACCTATGATATTTAAGTAATTTGTTCTTTGTTTAGTTGCGATTACGCTTATACAATTTAATGATGGAATATTGTTATCACTATAGGGGTTGTGAAGATTATTAAGTTTTTGATCGAGACCATGGTGCGCACTGCTGAGGAGTCCCGCAATAGGACGAAACGACCATCCAATGCTTCCAGGTTTTCAATGATGGTCTAACATCAATTGGTTCATGATCTCAATCAAGAATATTGTTTTGTTGGGAAGTTGTAAGTAGTCTACAAGAAACTTCTGTCCAATAAAATTTCGTGTTAATTTACATTCATTAAAAACACATATGTGCGATATTATGGGTACTTTTTTATCCCTTATGGAACTTCAATTTGATACTTATCAAAAATGTTAACACTCAACTATTAGCGACCTAGTTAATATCCTGTAAGACTGAAATATTTACTCTGATTAGAAGCTGAATATTAACCAATACGATTTCGTGGATTGGTTGAAGTTAGACATTGACACCGTTGGATGCCGGTTGGCTCAGTGGTCTAAAGGTAAAGCGCTCTCATGCGAGGCCAATAGGTCCTATGTTCGAATGTTGTGAGGTGGGATCGTCAATGAGCACTCCTGTCCTGAAGAGTCCCGTACTATGACGAAACGGCCATCCAGTACTTCCAGGTTTTCCATGGTGGTTATCTCAACTGTATAAAACTAAAATAAATAATCAAAATATAAGATAATTATGTTGGTAATATGTTTTACCTCTTTCTCCTTTTTTGTTTCATCAATTTCATTACGTAAATTTGACATACGTTCAATACGTGCACTTTTAACTAAACGATTTCTCCAAGATTGATAAGCTAAATCACGTAGAACAACTGCATTCAATGGATATTCATTAGTATTTTTTTGATATTTATGATGTGTAGATTTGTTGGATACTTTTTGATTAGTTAAATGATATAAACTAGTTGATCGTTTAATTGATGATAATCTTGGTGATGATTTTAGACTATTATTCGATTGACAAGTTGATTTTATAATTATATCAGTGGTTTGTGTATTATTATTATTATTAATTATATTTTGTTGTTCTTTCGAAGTAATCACCAGTGTATTAATAAGTGATTGATCATTTTGGTCAGTCAAAGTAATATCATAAGTTGTTGGTTGGCTTGATGAAAAAGATGAGATAGGAAAAAGACACAATATAGATGACTTATTGTTTCATGATCAATTTGGAAAATACAGTAATTCGATCAGTGATTGAGAGATTTCATTGATATAACATATATGAATAACATAGATGAGTTTAATATTTAGTTAGTCTGAAGTAACATAGAACCCGGTATATGTGTGCATCAGTTCACGTCATTACATCATATCAGCATAGTGAAATGAAATCTCAGAGTAGTAGAAGTAGTAATAGTATTAGTACTAATAAAAATGACTAAGAATAGCCAATATTATTCCAGAAGAAAGAATTAGGTGGTGTGGTATAAAATGTTCAAAATCATTTTAAAACTCAAAATCTAAGGGAAGATAAAGAGAAAATGCCTTTACTCTATTGTAATCGGTTTTGAACAATACTGACATCTCCAACAACTGGTTCCAATCCTTGTGAGGACCACAATCCGGTAATCCGACCTGCTTGAGTATCTGGGCTACCTGTTCCTACCATCTAGATATTTTAACAAGTTATCTATTTTTGTTTTCTTTGATATATCATTATGTCTATTAATCGCATAACCTATCCTGGTGCATTTCTGAAAAGTGTACAACTTTTCGTTGTCAAAGTTACAAAAAGCCCAATAAGAGATAATGTGGTCACTGGCAATATGCAGGAAAAAGAATATACATTATTCAGATGTTCATTTATTGGACTGCTAATATCTAACTGGCGATCACTCAATATTTATCGTCAGGATCGACCAAGAAGTAAGAAACGGAAACTTGTTGGAATACTTAACGCTGAGAATTCTATATTGTACCAAAAATATAATATTGAATAAAGGTTATAATAATAATAATAATAATAATAATAATAATAATAATAATAATAATAATATCTACACGGTTCAGTCAACTAGCCAATCTATTAGTAAATCAGTAAAAACCACCCTCTGAAATAGGCAATGATTAGGTTTATAAAGATTCATCACATCATTAACCGACTTTAAAAAGGAAGGTGAACCAATTAATTTGTGTACGATATATATATATATATATATATATATATATATATATATATATATATATATATATATATATATATATATATATATATTAGAAATGGATGATTAATTAAGAAGCTAACAGAAAGGGATCACAGTATTTTCATGGCATACGACAACTACTATGATCAATGAATCTCAAATTTCTAGGAGGAAATCTTTGTAATGAAAAAAATATTTCTCCTGACCGAATGTTAGACTGTTATTAAAAATAGTTTATTAGGTTTGAACCTCTGATTTTTATCGGTAAATAAAGGAAATTGATTTCTCATTCCACCTGATCCTAGTCTCAATCCAATTCTTTATTTGGTAACACATAGGTGAAAATGGAATATAACTCAACTCAAAGAGAGTGGGGGGAGTGACAGAGACTAAAAGTAAAGGTCCACTTCACATCCAAATATTATCTCAATACAGTCATTTATATGCATATTTACGTTATAGTGCTTTTTGATAAAATTTAAAATAACTATGGCTTTAATATATAGCAACGTTGCAGTAATCAGTAACTGAAATTGTCAACATGCTATCGAACATTATACAGAATAAATATCATGGTAAAATAAAATCGATTGTCTTAATTTTGATCCCTTCATAACCTGATCATTTAAATTCAAATAATGAGAAGATTTAGGTTTGATGATAACCATCCTTTTAATCACTGTCCAATAAAACTGCAATATCTATAATTTACAAGCATTTTGTTTCGTTAATTTTGTGGTTGAATACTGCATAAAAGAACATTTATTTATTTATTTATTTTAACACATATATATTGGTACAAGGAGGCACCAAATACATATGCACCACACAGATCTCATTTGATATGTGTGAGGGCTGTGGTACTGCCCGAATGCCCAAATCAAAGCAAGTGCTTTTCTTAGAGGACTACACCCAGAGCCTTCGACCTCAAGGTCTGATCCACAAGGCAGTAAAGCAACGTAAGGAGATGCAGTTCCATGGTAGACGGTGACTAACGACTGGTTCCTACGCCATTTGTTCCTTCAGGATACTGGAGCCCATGTGCATCATTCGTTTGGAATTAAGGTTTCCCAACTCCCTCAGATGAGTCGCCCGTGTCCACTAACCCGGTTGAATCGCCAGACATCCGCTTTTCGTTTTCTCAATTTCGTAAACAACACCCGTGTTGCGAGAAGGCAGTGAGTAGGACTTCCCTGGCAGAGTCTATATACGTGTGGCCATGTGAGAGCATTTCGAAAGGGAGAGCGGACTCTCCCTATTCTCGGCGGTACCAGGGCATTTAGGGTCAAAGTTCCCACAGCACGAGTCCTCCTCGAGACTCGAACTCGGGTGGCTAGATTCAGATTCCAAAGTGCTAAGAACATGATTTTCACTAAAAATTTCATTTATATTCTCTCGAGTTATATATATATATGTCCTCTATGAACATGCTACTGTAGTGCATTCTGAATTACAGAATGAAGAATGCAAACGTATGAAAAGTTAGGGCTTGAAATGAAGTCTTCATTAAAAACTATGTTCTTATATATAGCACTCACCCACTAACTGGATGGAAAAACACACGATAATGTTTAATACTAAAAACACATTGAACATCGAAAAACGTATACGCTACGAATTTTATTTGATGTTATCTAAAATGGTATTAAAAGTTTCATAATTGAACTATCGTTCCTTCAGGCTAGAAAACACATCACTAGCAAACCATTCATATTAGCTACATATTTTTTCTGTCATTTTGAGATTGCAAATGAATAAATGTACACATAGTTAAACCATAGCAAAGCTTCAGAGTGTTATTTAACATAGTAGTCTAAAAGTTAACACCCTGTTTATTAGGTCTGAAAATTTCTAGCTTTACTCCTATGGGATTCAAGAGGACATTTATAGGAAAAGTACAAAACTAAAGGTAATGAGTACTTCAATACGCAAACGCAACAATAAGTGCAAGAGAAAAAGACCAGTGTAGTAGCAGTTTCAGCAGCAGTAGGTCCCAATATACACAAAGAGAAAAGCAAGATTCTCCGACACAACACAGCATGCACCAATCCAGTCACAATTGACGGAGAAGATTTGGAAGATGTGAAAACCCTTACATATCATTGATGAACACGGTAAGTCTGATGCAGATGTGAAGGCGCGGATCGGTAAAGCAAGAACAGAATATTCACAACTGAAGAACATCTGGAAATCAAAACAATTTGCACCAACACAACGTTAGGATTTTCAGCACAAATGTCAAGACGGTTCTACTATATGGGACGGAAACCTGGAGAACTACGAAAGCCATCATCCAGAAGATACGAGTGTTTATTATCTACACAAAATACTTCGGATTCGTTGACCAGACACTATTAGCAACAACGTACTGTGGGAGAGAACAATCCAGATCCCAGCGGAGAAAGAAATTAGGAAGAAGTGCTGGGAGTGGATAGGACACACGTTGAGGAAAACAACCAACTACGTCACAAGACAAGACCTCACATGGAATCCTCAAGGTCAAAGGAAAAGAGGAAGACCAAAGGACACATAAAGCTGGGAAATGGAGATAGACATGAGAAAAAGAAACAAAACTGGGATGGAATTAGAAAAGTAGGCCTAGGACAGGGTGTGTTGGAGAATGATGGTTGGCGGCCTATGCTCCATTGGGAGTAATAGGCGTAAGTAAGTAATTATTATTATATTCTAAAAATTTAATGTTTTAATTCGATATTTTCATCTGTAAATAAGTAAAAACTATACCGTCTACAGATCTCTATCACACTATTATTAATCTTTTAAAAACTAGATGTTGGATGAAATCACATATTGTTGATAAGCATAAGTTACTTCAAATCAATAAATATTCTGAAACTTTCAAATAAGACATAATATTCGCGTTAAAATGGATCCGATGATAAGAACATTATTTAGCTTACTTTGAACTAGGATTATGTCTTCTAGTACGTATAGTGGGTTTTATAACAGGTTCTATATTGTCAGATAGTCTTGCCTTATCATTTTCCTTTCTAAAAGTGAAGTGAATCACATCATAGAACTGTATAAAATCATTTAAAGTTTGGTTTAAATTTAGTACTGAAAAAGAACAATGGTGATGAAATATAATAAAATGTTCAAATATACCATAAATCAACATCACCGAACAAGATATTATAAGTAGTGCATATTACAGTCTCTATGGTTCTATTGTAATTTCAAGTTTTCTATTCAGTTTAATAATAACGATAAGCACGAAAGCTATTGAGACAATGATTTCTAAAAGCATTGACGTTCCGGAGTACTCAGTGATTCATAAGTTGAATAAAATGGATGCTAGAATATCTTGAGATAGTATAGTCAGTATTTGTCAAGTACAAAGTTGCTCACCATTGAGTAAGTAAAGAGTCAATACATATTCGCTATCGAATGTTGATACTGCTAAGAAAAATTGAATGTTGATTAAATTAACAAGTTTACTTAACTTCTTTATAGTTTTCTCAGCAAAACTAAGCTCATTATCACTAGTTAACAAAAGTGAGCCAATAACTAAGCCATTTATGGCCACTCTAGATAATGTTCAATTTTTAATCTGTTAATCAGACTTTGGTTTTGATTGATTAACCCTTTAAATAGAAATCTCAGTAATGAAGTCTAAAAATATCTCGCCATTCACCGTCTTATTATTAATAACGACAAATATGAAGGATGTAACTTCTTTAAGTGAAAGAATTCTCTGTTGTTGTACTTTTTCTAATTGAACTGTCTCTCCCATTATTGCTATTTCACTATCATACACTAACTTTTGTTGATTGCTATACTTCCTTTTTCTTATACGCATCTTACATTCTTTATATCTTCACATTATCATTATTATTATGTGGCGCATATGTATCTGGTTCCCCTTTGTACCAATATTTATGTGTTCAGATAAATAAATGAATAATATGTAGGAGGAACACAGGGCAATTCTGATTTACATAATATTTTATTGATCGAATTTCCACTGATCGCTAAATTCTGAAATGATATTATAATCCTCAACACTTTGTTACAACCACATATTTTTAAATCCTGCAGATAATTAAATGGAACTGAGATGTTTTCTATCCATGAAGTCGTCCCTAAATAGTTGTGTAACGTATTTAAAGGTTCATTAAAAAATTGATATGAGACAGTCAGCGTATCGTCATGAACAAAATATATGAGCAAATAGATCACCAGCTGTTTTCAGAATGTGATCATTATTGACGATTAAAACAATTGTCCAGAAGTTTATTCATTCATGTCTTCTAATAACCTTATGCATGCGTAGAAACTGGTCGTAATAACTAAAATTACAAATTGAAGTCAAAATTTATCACTCATTAAAGCGACCAAAAATGAAAACATTGTTTCCATTTAAGCACAAAACTTATACGCTCTGATAAACACTGTCAACTGCTTCTTACTTGTTTAGATAATTGTGTAGTGCAAGGAGATTGTAAATATTTATATATTACAGAAGTTGTTACAGATTGAGAGTCCGGTCAATGAACAGCTCAGAAATGCATCTTATCTATTACTTTTATATTTGGTGTCTCTTTGCCTTGACAGTTGATAATATTATTTGAAATCACAAAGACTATTTGCTTTTTGTGGTACATGAACGTTTATAGAAAAATATGCCATTATAATCAAAATTATTTTAAATTGGTTCGCGATAAGATCAAGTGTTAAAAATTAACAAATACGTAGGCGAAAATCAAGCTAAAATTGATCAACCTTTACTAAACTTACTCTTCAGTTTCATTGAATGTAATACTACTCTCTTTCAGATTATTAATACTTGTCGGTGCAATACTTGTTTCATTTGTCCGATGAAATAATTTATGTTGTGAATTACTGTTTAGTTTTTCACTCTTCTCACTTAACTTCTTGTCACTATTTTCTATTCCAAAGCATTCCACGTTTAGATGTTCATCGTCGGTTGTTTGGTTATTTTCACACGTCTTTGAATCATCTAATACAACAAAAACTTGTTCAGATTCAATTTTATGAAGTTATGTGGTTAACTTTAGAGCAAACCATTTGACATTTATTTAAATACTGAATTTTAACCTGTAATGGCTTAATTTGTCCACCATAGGTAGATCAATCTTTCAGCTTAATTTTATCGTTACTAACGCCTCGTTAGTTAGATAGATATTTCCTTGATTTGACGGAATAACTATTTTTAAAGATACGTGACAAGAGTTGTTATAATAATGGTTTATTATATTGTAAAATTGCCAATTAAGAGTTTGGGAAATCTTTGACTCATAACTACACCATAGAACGATTTTAGTGATACAACTATTGAAAACAGAACAGCTGTTTCGTCCTAGCACGGAGATCTCTACCACATTATTCACTTATTTAAACACATAAATATTGATACAAAGGAGGACCGAATACATATGCACTATACTAGTGTGAGCCGTGATACTGTCCGGGTGCCCAGACCGAAGCCAACTGTTTTTTGGGGAGACCACACTCGGAACCTTCGACATAAAGGTGTGATCTACAAGGCAACGTCAGGAGATGCCGTCCCATGGTAGCCGGTGACCAATAATTGATTCATACGCCATTTGTTCCTTCAAGATTCTGGAGCTCATGTATACCATTGGTTTGAAATCAGGGTTTTTAGACTCCCCTCTGTGGATCCTCCATATCCACCAACCCGATTAAAGCTCTGGACATTCACGTTTCGTCCTCTCAATTTCGTAAAGAACACCCCGGTCAAGAGAAGACACTGCTGGTTCACAACCCTAACGGAGGTTGGACCCAGAACCTGCAGTTCTCCCTGAGCATAAAAACTTTGATGCAATACGTTAATGGAATGCGTGTTTGAGCTTTTTGAAATTCAATGGTTGCTTAACTACAGCTAGTCCATGATGGAAACAACGATGTTAAATTTGGTTAGTCTTTTGGATGAATAGACCATAGGGTTAAATAATGGTCATTTTTCGTTCAATGATTCGGTGAATATTTTTCACGTAAAACATTTCACAATGAAATGTTCTTCAAACATGATAAAAGTTAAATTCACGGTTTGGGGAATATGAATCATAATGCTTCAACTATAGACTTTTTCGCACTTATCAGAGGCTTTAAATATTCGCCTTTTGAAATACTTTTAAACGGACTTAGACGAAATGGCAAATCATCACCTTCATAACTCATTTAAGCTGTTCAGTCTGAACGTAGTTGACTGGACTCCTCAACATAAAACCAATAGCTAAACTTCATCCGAAAGACTATTTAAAATTTTGGAAGTTCTATAACAAGAAAACCAGATTAAGAAATTGAAACACCACTATTCTAACGAACGGACGAACATCTAATAATTTTTCATTGATTATTACTTATTGCGAGTATGTATAAACGAAGAACTTTCCATGGTGAGTTCAGTCGCAAATAATTCCCAACTTATACCTAAACTTTAGGAGCTTCGAAGTTTGGCATGAAGACACAGTTTTTTAAAACGAAAGGATTTACCTGGAGAACTCAGTTGTTCATTTCCATCTTCAGAAGTCATTTGAACAACCGGCGAGGAAATGTTCGACCCCTCTTTATAACTCCAGTTATCGGAAAATAGTTTGTCAGTTACATGAACTAAGAATGGAAGTAATAGGGAATCAATTATTTATTTATACACAAACTTTGAGGAACATTCTCTTCATGTCGATTGACTTTTCCTTCTTTACTGTCAACTTTCTCATTTGGCTTCAAAACTGTTGCTGGAAAAAGTTCTGAATAGTCTTCATCAAGCAGTTCAAGCGGCGAGAAAGGCATTTTCAATCATGTCATCATATAGTTTGAAAAGCGTGCACTCGTTGTTATGACAACATCGTAATCAAAATGTTTCAAATGATTATGGATGGAATAGAAGAAGCTTTCGCTTAACGAGCTTCCGTGCCTAGTAGCAGTGGATTGTCAATACCCTCAGGTAGGAAACTAGGTATAATATTGATAAAAGAGGAAAAAGAAATTGGTAAATCATAATATGACACTATATTTAGTCAAGTTTCCTTACAAAGTAATCCTTGGAGGTTATTGGGCCTGGCTCAGCCGGCAGCAAATTCCAACGTTTGACCACTCTTGGGGAGTAGAAAGTGTGTCTACAATCTTTTCTGCTTTGCTGTGTCCCCAGTTTCTGGTTGGTACCCCTTAGGTTTGTATTGGGATTTAACTTGAAGTGATAAAGAGGATGTTCAGAAGTATTTAGGATGCCGTAGGCTATAAGGAGGTCATGTCTAAGACGTCTGTACTCTAATGGGTAGAGGTTCAGTGATTGGAGGCTCTCTTCATAAGGCCTGAATTTGAGTACCCGAACTGATTTCGTGGCTAGCCGTTGGATACTTTTCAGAGTGTCATATTCCTTCTAAAGTTAGGGAAGAAATACTATGTTTCCGTATTCTGAATGGGCTAAGTAAAACTGTTGAAGATCATGTGGAAAGGTTTTACGTCGAACTGACCAAAAATGGGCTCCAATTTTACCAGAGCAATGTTTGCTTGAGATGATTTTTGTCACAATTAGCATAAGGCTTCGAATTGCAAGGTACCGAAACTCCTAGATAGTTTTCAACTTGGAAAACCTTTAGAGTAGTAGCTGTATTCTGTAACATGTATCAGGTGGACTACTTTACACTTTGAGGTGTTAAAGGTAAATCCGTTGTCATCTGCCAAATTTTAAAGTCGAGTCAGATCCTACTGAAGTAGCAGCATATTTTTTGGTTGCTCACATCTCTCCAAAGTTTCACATCAACAAAAGTAACGAGTATGGCTATGCCTGATGTGGAAGATCGTTTATATAAATCAGGAAAAGAAGAGGTCTTAGTACTAAACCCTGGGGGACCTTACTAGGAATTACATAGCCCGAGAGAAATTGGAGTTAACTATGGCATAAAAATGTCGATTTTTATATATAAAGTGAGTCAACCAACTAAATGTGGTTTGATACCTTGTCGTTTGAGCTTATTGATGAGACAAAGCATTACTTCCGTACCAACACAAGGTAGTTATAGTACCTGGATACTACAAAAGCATAATCTACTTCGGGTTTTTGCTGCAAATTATGTTCTCGACGTAAGCTGGAAAGTCGTAATACTCCCGCTCCTCTACAATCGACTTTAATCATAGATGTATATCAGTAACACCGGTAATCTAGACAAAACCTAACTAACATCCTAAAAACGTTTGTTCATACTGATAAAATGTTGCTTTCGGGATAAGAACTTAGCTTCCGGACTAGCGATGCTAGGATTTCACAAGTAGGACGAATGACCATCGCTACCAATACATTAGGCTTACTTGTTATTTGGTATGGAAACAGAAGCCCAAAAATTATTCCATTGAATTTTCTATGAAATTAATCTTAGCCAGGGAGGGAGGGAGCTGTGATTGTATGTAATTCTCCAAAAAGTAGTTCAGTAGTTATTTCTAACTGAAGCGGTTCTGTTTAACACCGCCATTAAATCAGAGCTTGACCTGACTTAGAGCATTGTTTCTGGTACACAATCATTTGCCTAGATTTATTGGCCTGAAGGAAAAAACGTCAGTCTGCAGATATTTGTTAACATGCTAATATCAATCATTTGTAGGGTTATCAACGACTGCATACTGAAATCTAAAGCGAAATAAAAGACTTAGTTTAAGTTTAATATGAGCAAGGAATAATTTGCTGATCTCTGTACATATTCGTGAACTTCGGTAAGTGTTTTCCATGCCTTGTAGTTTGATTTTAGACATTTCTATCTTAATAAATGAACAGACAGAAAATAGCCATTTATTGTCATGGAGGCAATATCGGAATTTCGTCTCCGGTTCTTAATTTATAGTGTGGCGTGTTGTCGAGATATATTTGCTGGCGATCTCGTGGTATCGAAAGAATACCGAGATCGTGCCAGGGTACAAACTTGGTTACAGAGCAAAACCGAATTCGCGCGAGTTCACAATCAAAGTGTAAGAATAATGGGTGTTTTTAGAACAGTTAATCAAAGCGCACATTAAACAGGCACTGGTAAAATTGTTTATATTAATAATTGTTTTCATTAAACCAATCGTGTTCTCGTGATAAAAATAAGTCACTACTAGAGAAAATAATTTCTCTTACAGCAAATTGACGAAAGAACTATGTAAATATATCTATATGATTAAGAGAATATATATCGGCTATATTTCAAAATGAGGCAAACCCACAGTTTAACTACCTTTTATTAGACAAAATAAACTAATCTTCATGATATATGCGAGAGAATATTATACAAAGTTGAGACCAGTGTTTACTTCGAACTATGCTTTTTCTCAGCTTTTATAAAATGTTAACAGCAGTGATTGGCAAAAGACAACATTTTTACACAACAACTCTAACTTGTTCACAGTCATGGCACTTACGAAGTAGACTGCCCTTAGGAGTACAGGTGAGAAGGCTCCAAGTAAGCAGTTAACTACCAAAGCGGCACATAAAAGTACACCAGCTACTGGCGGTGTTAAGAAACTTCATCGTTATCGTCCTGGAACAGTTGCCCTATGTGAAATTCGTCATTATCAAACGTTAACTGAACTACTGATATGCAAACTGCCCTTCCAGCTTTTGGAAATTGCGCAATACCTAAAGACCGACCTTCGTTTCCAAAGCTCTGCAATTTCTGCTCTCCAGGAAGCTAGCGAAGCCTACCTTGTTGGGCATTTCGAAGACACTAATTTGTGCGTCATCCATGCTAATTGTGTCACTATTATGCCAAAGGAAAACTTATGTTATCAGAGAGCCTACAGAAACCTATTCGTTCGTGCAGACCCAATTTTTCAGGAAATACTTGATATTTTCACTTAGAATGCGAAATCTGGTGCATAGATTCTCAAGATGCTATGCTGAAGATCTATTATTTTATCGAAAGAAAATGCCACCGAGAGGTTAAATGTAGTCTGTTAAATTATATAAACAATGCACATTGAAATCCCTTCTAGACCTCAACATGACTTATTTGCATGAGTGCGTACCATCATTCGGTTTGATGGCGTTTCTAAGCGTATACAAAACAAGTACTTTATCTTTATTCCCTTCCATGTCATTTACGCTGATCGGTTAGGCTATTAGATCTTAAAAAACGGTACATTTTACTCGCTAGCTGACTGCTAACTTTACTTTCTGGTCTTTATCGCCTTTTTTTGTAAGAATAGGACACAATTTGGCAGTTAAAATCCATAGTATAATTGAACTTACCTTCGCCCACTACCTACAAATCAGTGTCTCAATAAACAGCCACGCTGTGTGAAAATTACGCTGCTTCTGAAAATTCATGGTTATATTAATGACAATATAGAAAATGAGAACCTTATACTTGTTGGAGGGCTGCATGACGCAGTAACATGTTATTTTACTCGAGGTATACCTGTTTAATTTTTATGTAGTATGGAATTTTGTTGCTTACAGATGATAACATGTGTATTATAAAAATTTTCCCATCAAAATCTGACTTCTCATGAATGTAATCATCCAAATAATCCATCTGAGGACGAAATTCTTAAGGCCCATAATGTCCATAATCGATTTGTACTTGATGATTCAGTATAGAATGGTCAAATATATTAGTTGCTGGTGTGATTTATTTCAAATACGACGAAGGGAGTATTCAAAACTTAATAGTCCTTGAAGGAGCCAAAAATAAAAGGGAGAACATGGAATATCTTCAATTAATTTTGAAGCATGCAAATAGTGTAAATATTGAAAATTCAAAAGATATTTTCAGGTAAGTCTCTAACAGAAACATTACAGACTTGACGATCATTAGGTAGCGATCATTGCGATCGGTAATACAATAATACAACTGCATCTCTGTGCATGCAACATGCTTAATTAGTGACAAATAAATAATCAGAGGAACATGTAATATTAGTTACTGATTTAGGCGAAATGGAAGTCCTTATAGATCATGACTCAAAGACCACATTTTACTACAGTTTTTTATGGATCGAAAAAATTCTAAATAGATCGTGACTTTACTGTCCGATTTTCATAATAGCAGATCATAAGTAAAAAACTCTTTGAATTTCTGTGTCGAAATTCAGAGATTGGGCTTTGAAGACTCTGCAACTTTTCAAATGTTTTCAAGGTTGATTAAATTTTAATCTGAAATATTTTCTCCTTACATGTTTTCTCATGAAGTTAATATACCTGTTTATAATTTCAAGAGTTATTCAAATTTTTATGTTGTATTTCATACGCAGTTTGTATGATGAATAGTGGCTTTTGATTCATTCGTATTACAAAAATTGTCAAGTTTTTAATGTATAAATGCATCTATATTTATAAATGTATATTTTTTGACGTTCATAAGATATTTTAACCTCTTAGCTCATGTCGATAATGGGTGCAAAAGTCATCAATCGCACGCTTTGCCAAAGCATGTTTTTAGGATCGTTTTTTGAATAAGCATGGATTAAAAAATCCCCACGGATTAGATTTTTGTGAACCCTTTGGATTCTTACTATTTGCTACTCATCAACTAGATCCGGGGGAATTTCTGGGGGTTTTTGTGCTATTTCTCCCTTAAAATATGGAAATTGGGATTTCGATACTAGATGGATCAGCTTTTTATCACAGGGTGTATGTCGTCTTGGCATTTTCGATTTTTAGAGGTCCTGTGATACTCAAACCTGGTTTATAGCAATAACTGCCCTCAATCATTCACACGATTTTGTTGAATACTCGGATTAACTTTTTGGTTACGCATACAAATTTAACTGTCTTTAATCTCCCAGCGTACTGCTAGGTCAGGCAATACTGCACAGAGGATGCTGAAATTGTATTCATGTCTTATCTCATCACTCAGTTTAAATTT